ATTCTCATTAAGTTCCTTAAAGGTCACTTAAAGTTTCTCAGTGGTTTTTAGAAGATTCTTGAGTAACCTTATAAATGTGGTTTTGAACTCTGTGTTGTCCAGTAGTTTGCTTTCCTCCATTTCTTTCATCCGTGACATGTTTCTGTGTTTCCACAGTTTCTGCATTTTGGTTGCTTTCCTGTGTTGATGGAGTGACTTTGTATGGTAGGTGACCTAAAGAGGCCAGTAGCTCAGCTTCACCAATCATCCGAGTTGGTCGTTCTTGGTACACCCTTTGTGGGCTGAGTGCAAAGACTTGGTATAGTGAAGCCTTGATTGCTAATGGTACAAAGGGAGGAATTGACCTCCAGGCCCATTGGTTGTGAGGATCCGCTGTGTCTATGATGGAAGAACTGCTGCACTGGAGACATGCTTATGGTGAGGGCCTTGTTTCAGTGGGGCTTTGGCCCTCAATGAGTCCACCTCCCAAATGTGTCACTTATGGATGTGAGGAATTGGAATCTGGTGTCGCACACTGACCACTAGGTACACTGGCTTCTGGATCTCCAATGGAGTACTGGTCAGTTACTGTCTTATGCCACCCTGCAGGAGTTACAGCAAGAACCACAGTCCTCTCCTCCCTGGTTGGGGCTTTGAGACTTTGGAGCTGTCTGAACCCGGTTGCAAGTTTGCTAGGTTAAGCTGTGAAAGGGAATACCATTCATATGCAAAAGCCGATGCTTGGAGCTTAGGTGGGCTTTATAGGTTGTGCAGGGTGGGGTCTCAGGGCATTATCAGGCAAGGACTTGGAAAACAGCGAAGGCTGACAGCTCACAGTCCTCAAATTTCCTACCATGACCCTGTCGCCGGCACCCAAGTGCAGTAACCAATTATTCCTGTGCACAACTCTGCAAACAAGCCACCCTCACTGTCTGGCCCAATGGCAGACAGTCCAGCTTCTCCTCTAGGAGTTTGGGTCCCTCGAACCTCCCCAGGAACTGAATTTTAGAGAAAACGGGAGCTTGTCTCCATTCGGGTTGAAGAAAGCAATGCCTGCCACCAGCCATGACCTGCCACAAGCCAGGATGGCGCAAGACTCCTTTACGCCAGCTTTTCAGAGCTTCTGCCCTGAATATTCTTTCCTTTTCTTCTATTTATAGAACTTCCACTCCACTAGCTTTCACGTGGTTCTGGGTGATAGACGTTTTGTCTTTTACTGGTAGTTTTGAAATTGTTGTGCACACCAGCAATTTAGATATTACCTATACCACCACCTTGGCTGTCTCCCCCATATTAACCTAAAATTATATAGGGTATACACTGAGTGGCCAGATTATAATGTGTTCAGAGATCATAATAATTTGGCCACTCAGTGTATTTGTACATTGGTATTCTTTCCAGCAGCCTTCTATGTATGCTTATTATTTCCAAAATGTTATATCTAGATAGCTTCTAAATTTCGTAATGAACAATCCAATTATTTTTTAATGCTGACAGATTTTTTTCTTTAGTATTTCAAAATTTATGCTACCTAGACCCTAGCCATTGCATAGAGCAACTGCCTGTGGACAAAGGGTCCCAGGTTTGATTTCAATCAAGGGCTCATAACTCGATTGCAGTCTCCTCCCCAGCTGGGCTCTAGTCAGTTTTCTTGCAGGAGGAAACCAATCGATGTGTTTCTCCACATCGATATTCCTCTCTGTCTTTCCTCTCCCTTACACTCTCTAAAAATAAATTTAAAAATAACCTCAGATGTGGATTTTTTCAAAATGTATACTACCTTGCCTGGTTTAGCTCAGTAGGCACAGTGTCTATACATAGATTTATGGGTCTTGGTATCAGTTACCCATCAAGGGTACTTACCAGATTGTACATTCTATGCTCTGCTCCAGTTGTGTCACATGAGGCAGGCCATCAATCTCAATTTCTCTCTCAATATCTCCTCCCTCTCTCTCTCTCTCTCTCTCTCTCCCTCTCCCTCTCCCTCTTCCTCTTCCTCTCTCCCTTTCTCTCCCTTTCTCTCCCTTTCTCTCCCTTTCTCTCACTTTCTCTCTCTCTCCCACCCCCAACCTGTTTCCCTCCCTTCCATGCTGTTCAAAAAAATGTAAGGAAAATCCTCTGGTGATGATTTTTAAAAATATTTCAATGTTTTCTTTTTTCTTTTTACTACTGACCCACGCAGTACAATGCTGATAGAATTGGGATTAGATTGTCAAAGCTGTCTTATTCTTGATAGGAAATAAAAATTTTTTAAAAACATTTTACCATGTTCACTGTGAACGAAGGAAGTTCCATTCCAATCCTAATCGGGTAAGAATTTTAATCTTGAGTATTTGTGGACTTCCATCAGATAGTTGTGTATTTGTTGAACTAGTCATAGGAATTTTCCTTCCATTAATCTGTTAATATGGTGAGTTATATAGATAACATTCCAAGTTTTTAAAATCTTGTATTTCTTGGAGGGAGGAGGGCTGTTCGTGATATATTATTCTTCGGAATAAACTACACTTAATACTTTGGTTAGGTTGTGTGTGAAGGACCTCATGAACAACATTAGGCCATTTTATTTCGTGTACTCTCTTGGACTTTGGTACAAAGGACACTAGCTTCTTAAAATGAACTGAAATGTAAAAAACGTTTTGTTCTCTGGAATGCAAGTCTCTTCAAGGCTGAGAACAGTGGAGCAATAGGCTTTGCCATGATCAGCTCTACCTGAGTGGCATCTCATTTTTCAGTATCAGAGCCTACTTACAACAGAGGAGCAGAAGGGGATGCTTCAATGTACCCATCACTTCAGCTTTTGAGAGATGCTCATCTTCCCTGGTAGACACCTCTAATGATGCTTTCACTTGAAAGCTACCCACACCTAGTTGTATGCTGATATAAAACGTGCCAAGCATGTCAAACTCACAGCTGGTGGGCCTCATGCCTAGTTTAGTTTTCTACACCCTGTAAGGTAGAAGTCATGGCTCTATTAACTTGCCTGGATAATTTCAATCTCCTACATGGTGATGAATGACCTGAACACATGCTCAGCTATGTACTTATAACAACTCCTCCATTTATTGTGATCTTTCATAATCGGAATAAGAAGTTACATTTATAGAGCATATACTACTCATTACCACCTCTCTGAGCTGGGTTCCATATATGTATCACCTAATTTAATCCTCACAGTTAAGTTGGAACAGAGTGTACACAACATTTGTCAGTGAATCCCATTCAAAGCAGCTTAGGGATTCAAGTTCAAAGTTAGAAATCGTCCTTGTTTCTCAATGTAAAAACTTCTAAAAGTATATACAGAAAAATGGATATTGTAGTGATCGGCTGTGTGTGATCTTTGATTAGCAAGTTGTTGCTCTGATGATTGGGAAGTGGAGTACAGGATGCAGTACTGCTTCACAGCAAGTGATCGAGGACTGAGCCTAAATGCTAGCACCGTTATCTAAGGGTATTGGTAAACCATACACTGAATGAGTGACCACAGGTATGTTCAGAGAAACGGTTACCGTCTGGTGATGCATGCATGGTAACACAAGCAGAGAAGTTAAGAAAATGGGAGAGCAGGGCAGGTTAATGTATTTAATTTATAAAAGTGAGCGAATTCCTTTATGTATGTCAAAAATCAGAAGGCAGTGATTTGTCAAAGTATACGTGTAAACATGCTATTAATATACGTTTCTGTCAGAGCCCTGTTTCTGAAACATATTGTCCATGGAGGTTAAACGTCCCCTGTCTATCCAAAATGTTACTGAAAGAATAAGTATGATTCGCGGTAGGGAAATGATTCGAGCCATTTTCTTGACCAGGGCTGACCTAAAGATTACAATGCTCTGTGGCTTTGGCAGGGAAACCTCAACTCCTGAATGAGGGGCCGAATCGGCCTGTATGCTCATACCTGCACATGCGCATTTCAGACCACGCCCAGTGCTGCGCATGCCCAGAGCTGCACAGGTCAGACTGTTCATTCCCATATAAGGCCACTTCCGCACATGCGCCTTTCATCCAAAGAGGTTGCTGCGCATGCGCTTTGCTGTCCCAGTTCGCTGAGGAGAAGTGTGCAGCAGGCGGCCGTGCTCCTTCCATTTTGATTCCTTCTCGCTGGTGCACATTCACCTGGTAGGTCCACAGAGCTGCCCTCCGGGACTTTAATTAATATGGCAGAGTGTGAGGAGAAGGCCCGCGGGTTTGGGTGGGGGCGGAGCGGCGGGGTCTGTGGCCTCCTAGGAGGAAGGGCCTCGAGGGCAGCGCCTCTGTCCTCTCAGGCATCATGGCCGCCATGGCCCTGGAAGGCCTGGGTGACCCGGACTAGGAGGGGCTCGGCCCAGCAGGGCAGGGGGCAGGTAACGGGTTTGGGGGACAGTATTTGGGGTGTCTGGGCCATGGAGGGCCCTGAACCGGCCCACAGAACACAATCCCCGGTCCTCCTTGGGGCGCTGGGAAGGGGGGGGTGCTGGCGGGGAAGGAAGAGCCTAGACACGGCCATGCTGAGGGACCGCCCCGCTGAGGCCTGCAGCTGGCCCCCTCCCGAGGTGTGTAGCGCCCCCAGCAGAGTCCCAGGGAGACACGGGCACAGCCCCTGGATGCACCTGGTCCCTGTGCCTCCTGGCAGTGCCAAGTAGCACAGCGGCATGGCGGCCCGGAGCCCTCCTGTGCGCTCCAGCTGCACTGACTGGCGGGAAATGGGCTGATCCCCGGAGCGGGCAAAGCCCTGCTCACTCAGTGTGGTTTAAGCAGTATTGTCCTGAGCGTCTTCCTCAAGGGGAAGCCATTGTGACAGCAAACATGGTAGTTTCTCACCTGCTTGTGGTGATGGCAGGCAGCAAAGCCCTGACCTACGTGGCTTGGCAAGCCCATCTATCAATATTTTGTATCCCCGAGAAGTCTGTGCATTTACTTTATGAGTGCTTTCAAAGTTTTTTTTAAAAATGAAAAGAAATAATCATTTTGCCATGGAAATGATATAGTTATCCCCTTAAGTACATTTTCCTAATAAAATTGTTCTACTTACAGTGTAAAATATGAGTCGGAAATTAACATCAAAAGTTGATTGGGGTGACATAGTAGAAGAGGAAGAGTCTGAAGAGCAAGTTGGACCGGTGGTTGTGAGTGCTTTGATATTTGAACTGTCCGTTATAGAAATGTATTTTCCTGTAAGTTTTGTTAAATGCTTCTAGGTACAGTGTTAAAAGTTTGTGAGCTGATAAGGGAGTAACATTGGCCCAGGAGTGTTCCTGAGGAAGGAAACCTTGACCCAGGAGGTTAGCTGTCTGGCATTGCCAATGGAAATGGGCGCCTTTCTCATGCTCATTAACACAGGCAGCCCACATCCATCCCAGGAGAGATTAAAAGAGCTTCAGCTTTAGAAGTCCTTGTGGGCAGCTCCTCTGAAAGGACCCAGGCAGTGGGATGAGAAACAATATTAAGAATAAATATATCATGTCTTAAATTCCTTTATTATTCTCCGTGATTATACATGAGTGTATATTATGTATATTTTTATTATTGTCATGTATTAACAACAAAACCTTCCGTTTACACACACACACACCTCTAGGACCAGCAGCCCAGTGATGAAAAACCTAAACAAGAGGAGCCACCCACAGAGAATCCGGATGTTATACCCGAGGAGGAGGAAGCAGATGCAGGAGCACCTGAGGTTCAAGGTGATGGGGAAAGGAAGAAAAGTGCCCGTGGAGGGAGGGGGTCTCTCTGTCCATCTTGTATTTTTTATTTGTGCTGTTGGAAAGTAAGTATGAAAATGCTTCACATCCCCCAGGTGTGTTTAGTGCCCTAGCATTAACCTCTCAACCAGGAAGTCATGGGTGAATTACTGGTCAGGGAAAATGCCCAGTTTGCAGGCTCCATCCTTCAGGAAGTAGCAGATCTGTGATTCTCCCTCATTATTGTTTCTATGTCTCTCCTCTCCACTTTGAAGTCAGTTAAAATACATCTATAGATATAAAACACCAAGTGATGCTTACAATGGAATGACCCGGAAGTACTGGTCACTAAGACGAGAACCGACTACCAAGGGACAGACTCTCAACACAGGAGCTTCCCCCAGCCAGCAGGACCCAATTGCCTATGAGGCCTACCAGCCAACTTCCTGGTCCTTACCCCAGGCTGGCAGGTCCCAGTCAACCAATCAGAGCCATGCCCTGGGCTGGACCAGGGAACTGGAGGTGGGTGGGGGCAGACACAGGTGGCAAAGGAAGGGAAGAGAGAACCACAGGTTGGCAGCATGGAGGCAGATGGGGAAGGAGGAGGAGGTGTGGCAAAGAACCTGATTGGCCCTGATCACAGGACAGGCCTAAGGACGCCTCCCACAGAATTAGGTTTTTCAAAAAGTTTTGCACATCAGGCATCCAGTCTAATTTTAAAGGGCAATGCAAAAATTTCCTGGAAATTGGCTGAAAATTTTAAGATTTTATCATTTACAGCTGTGCAGGCTCTTTCATTATGAGTTTTCTCTTTATCTTCAGGATTTATGTTGTATTGTTGAAAGCACAATCCTTCCTAAACCAGAATTAATGGTATAGATTTGACTACAGAAATGTGTATTGATTTTCTATTTTAATTGCTTCTTCATAGAACATTGTGCGTCTTCTCAGTCATTGTATCCCAAGAATAAGCAATGTTCATCAGCAGGTACAGAGAGCCAAGTCAGCCCAGAGTAGAACACCGGAAACCAAGCTTATTTGTTTAGTGGTGGGATCCCCATTTTATAAGTGAAAAAACTGAGGCTGGGCACCTGACCCACTGAGACATGTTATACTTTCTGTAAGGTGTGTATTCTTGCTACCACCTGTGTTGGTGTGTAAAATAGTGGATGGGATTGCATAAAATGCTAAATCCTCAAGTGTGTCTGAACTGTCAGGTAGCTCAGTACTGACCCAGGATGAGATGCAGTTCAGTGGAGCAGGTTAAGACCTCAGAAAGGAGGATGATGACCTCTCTTTCCTTTGAGTGACATGTTCATATGGTATACCTGGTAAAAGCTGAATCATTCCAAATAGTGGCATACAAGTCATTATATGCGTATGGTTTTTAAGTGACCTTTAAAAATGGTTCCTGATCTTTTAGCAAAACGAGACTTCCCTTCAAATTATTATGAAACGGAAATTATTTTCTTTACATACATATTATTTTTATCAAGCACCGGAAGTGAATTATTTACATAATTCAGGTTTTGGATTATTTTTGCTATTCAGCCTTAAGAGGTTTGCACAAGAAGCCTGACAACAAAGTCCATCAATTTGTTACCATCTTACTTCCTTTATTCTCACTGTAATACCAAAATGTTGCTGCTTCTCACTAATAATTTTATATTACTTTCTACTGAATGACACTTAGGGAACATTACATATAACATGTACAACTAACTAGTTATTTATTTATTATTTTTATAGAATTCAGAATTAATATATTTCCAGATTGCAGATACATAATAATTAGCCATTTACATGCAATAAAAATTAATATTTCAAGAGAAACTATTTTAAATATGATAATGTAGTATGCAACAAACATAAGTCAAGAAAAACTGATTTAATAAAGGGTGATATGCAAATTAACTGTCACCCCATCACACAGATGATGGTGCCCACAGCCACTAGATGGCGGTGCCAATTCCCTCAGCCCCACCAGATTCCTTTGTCCTGTGGGGGCAGCTGCTGATAGTGGACAGAATTACTGCTCTGAGGGAATGCCTGCCTCATCTCTGCAGCAACAAGGCAGGCGTTCTGCCCTGGCCCTGCGGAGGGTCTCTGGGCAGCAAGCACAGAGCGTCCATGGACTCTGTGAAAAAGGGGGGGGGCAGCCCACAGCTTTCGCTGCCACGCACAGGCCAGGACAGGAGATGGAGGGCCTCCTTCCACAGAAATAGCGCAGCTCCCTCCTGGCTCCTGCAGAAGCCACATGACTCGCATGGAAGCAGTTCCGCTCCCAGCAGCACACTGCATTTCCCACTGGCTCCAGTAGAAAATGCGGGCTGCCTAGTGCATGCTATATCATGCGATGGGAACTACTTTTAAGTATAATGTTACATGCCACAAACAATATTTAAAGAGAAATTATTTTAAATATGATAATATGACATGCAATAACAATTAGTATTTCAAGAAAAAAAGATTTGAAATATAATAATATTACCAAAACTGACTGACATAGGATAATATCACAAAAGTTGCAGGAAATATTAAGAAATCTCCAAATAATAGAATTCCTTCCATTATATTCTGAAATATTGTTTTCTCTGGCTCTATTTTTATTCATTAGTTATTGTTGCTCATTATAGTCTACAAAAGAGTGAGATCATGTGATCTTTATCTTTCTCTGACTGTCTTATTTCGCTAAGCATAATGTTCTCCTGGTCATCCATAATATAGCAAGTGGTTAGAGTTCCTTCTTTTTTACAGCAGCATACTATTCCTTTGTATAGATATACCACTGTTTTCTAATCCATTCTTCTGCTGGTGGGTACTTAGGCAATTTCCAAATCTTAGCTATTATAAATTGTGCTACTTCACAGTAGCAGTGCATATGTCCTTTCTGATTGGTGTTTCTGATTTCTTGGGATATAGTCCTAGAAGTGCGATTACTGAGTGCAATGGGAGTTCCATTTTTAACCTTTTCAGGAAAATCCATACTGTTCTCCACCAATCTGCATGCCCAATATAGTGCAAGAGGGTTCCTTTTTCTCTGCATCCTGACCAGAACTTCTCATTTATTGCTTTGTTGATGACAGCCATTCTGATGGGTGTGAGGTAGTGCCACATTGTTTTTTTTATTTGATTACTAAACTTTGATCATGTTTTCATATGTTTGTATTTTTATTTTGCATTCTGTATGTCCTCTTAGGAAAAGGGTCTTATTTAGGTTCATTGCCCAATTTTTATTGGATTGTTAATCTTCCTTTTTTATGAATTTCCGATAAATTTTTTAAATTAATCCCTTATCAGAGATAACATTGTCAAATTCGTTCACTAATGCAGTGGTTTGAATTGATGGTTTCTTTGCAGTGCAGGAGCTTTTTGTTTTCATTTAGTCCCATTTGTTTATTTTCTCATTAGTTTCCATTATACTAGGAGCTGTATCAGTAAAGATATTGCTATGACATATGTCTGATATTTTGCTGCCTTTAGATTCTTCTAAGATTTTTATGTTTTCCCATCTTACACTTTATCCTTTATCCATTTTGAGTTTTATTTTTGTGCATGGTGTAAGTTGGTAGTCTAGTTTCATTTTTTTTGCTTGTATCAGTCCAATTTTCCAAACATCATTTATTGAAGAGACTGTTTTGCCTGCATTGTATGTTCTTCCTCAAAAAGTAAGCATGATGGCTTCAGTCAATTTCTGGGTTCTCTGTTCAGTTCCACTGGTATATATGTTTGTTCTTGTGCACATATGAGGCAGTTTTGAGAAAATTGGCTTTGTAATACAGCTTGAAATAGGTATTGTGATCCCTTCAACTTTGTTGCTCTTTCTCAGAATTGTTGCAGCTACTTAAGAGTATTTTTTATTCCAGATGAATTTTTGCAGAGTTTGTTCTGGGTCTGTGATATATTCTGTTGATATCTTAATGGGGATTGCATTGAATATATAGATTGCTTTGGGTAGTGGGGACATTTTAATTATGTTGATTCTATCAATCCATGAGCAGGGTATATTCTTCCATTTGTGCATGTCTTCTGATATCTCTTTTTTTAACATCGTATTTTTTCCCAAGTACAGGTCTTTTATTTCCTTGTTTAAGTTTATTTCTTTGTGTCTTCATTTTTTTTTGTTGAAATGGTAAATGGGATTTTTTTTTAAATATATTTTATTGACTTTATACAGAGAGGAAGGGAGAGAGACAGAGAGCTAGAAACATCAATGAGAGAGTCATTGATCGGCTGCCTCTAGCACACCCCACACCGGGGATGTGCCCGCAACCAAGGTACATGCCCTTGACCGGAATTGAACCTGGGACCCTTCAGTCCCCAAGCCGACGCTCTATCCATTGAGCCAAACCAGTCCCAGCGGATTTTTTTTTTTTTTTTTTTTTTTTTTTTTAGTTTCTTCTGTGTTCATTATTGGTATATAAAAAAAAGCCTTAGATTTCTGAGTATCAATTTGTGAAGTCTAGTAGTTTTATGTCATCTGATACATTGCCAAATTAATTTATGAAGTCTAGTAGTTTTATGTCATCTTTAGGGTTTTCTATCATGTCAGCTGTGAAAAATAACAATTTTACTTCTTTTCCAATTTCAATGCATTTTATTTCTTCTTCTTGTCTGATCTCTTTGGCTAGTACTTCCAGTACAATGTCAAACAGGAGTGGTGAGAGTGGGAAGCCCTGTCTTATTCCTGTTCTTAGGCAAAAAGGTTTTATTTTTTGCCTATTAGGTATGATTTTATGACAGCTATTCTGAATTCTTATTCTGATATATTGCATGCCTCCATTTCAGTTAGTTCCTTTTTTGGCAATTCCTGCTTTCTTTCCTTTGGGGGTTTTTCTACTGTATCCCCAATCTTGTTCTGACTGAAGGATCTAGGTGTCAAATTCTGCGGGTCCTGTAGCTGCAACAGTGAGCTTGGTTGTGAATCATACCATCACAGGTGGTGGATGTTCCTCAGGCAGTCGGGAAGCAACTGCTCCCCATGTGGTCTCACAGCAGGGGAT